AGGAGGAGGAGGAGGAGGAGGAGGAGGAGGAGGAGGCGGCGCAGGGCCGGCAGCGCCGAGGGCTGCAGCTGCTCCTCGGCGGGCCCGGCCCCCGGGGCTCCGGGAGGCCCCTCGGGCGCTCGCGCGCTTTCCCCGACAGCGCTCCTCGAGGAGCGCTGCCGGGAGCGCGGTCGGGCCGTCGCACTTCCGGCATGGTCCGAGATCGCCCAGGCCCTACTGTAAGGAAGAATAAAAGAATACGCATCAGAAGATCATAAATTGGAATTCTAGGAATATACATCAGATAATTACGTCATAAGAAGAATCTTTCCCCTCGTCCCTCCGCCTCCTCCTCATCCCCTCCTTGTCATTCTATTCCTCCTCCTCCGCTCCTCCTCCTTCCCTCCTCTCCTCCTCTCCTCCTCCTCCTCATTCCATCCTCCTCCACTCCCGTCCTGTCTATTCATCCCTCCTCCTTTCCCCTCCTCCTCCTCCTCCGCCTCCCCTCCTCCTTGTCCTTCTATTCCTCCTCCTCCTCCTCCTCCTTCTCCTCCTCCTCCTCCTCCTCCTCCTCCTCCTCCTCCTCCTCTTACTCCCCCCTCGGCGAGGGGGGCTGTCCGCCGAAGCAGCTCGTCGACACTGGCAGCTTCCAGGACGCCCGGCCCCTCCCTCTCCCCGCTTGCTGCCGCTGCCGCCTGTGTCCTCAACTCGCTCAGCGATTGCCGCGGAGCGTCGGGGCGGCCTCGCCCTCCTTCCGGGAGGTCAGAGGAGGAGGAGGACAAGGCGCCTATACACCGCTACCCTCGCCTCGTCGTCTCTTTTTTCGGCCTCCTGGGGGGCCCTCGTCGCCACCGCTGGGTTCGCCTCGGAATCCTGGTCAGAACGCACCCCAGGAGAGGTCTGGGGAGTAGCGGTATAGGTACCCCTTTGGTTTCCTCCGGGGAGGCCTCCCCTGAGATCCTGGCGATGCCGCTCTTCCACAGCTTTCGCCTGGGCTTGGGCCCTGGGGCCCTCGCAGATCGATCCGGCGCGAAGCGTGGCTCGATCCGGCTCGGGGCTCAGGGTTCCAGTCGCGATCTTCTGCGATGCTGCAAGTGTTTCGTGGGCGCACAGCGCCATCGAAAGCGCGCGCACGCTCGAGCTGCGTCGTGCGCGGGCACAAGCTTCGCGCCCGCGCCTGGCGCGCGCGCGGGCGGGCGAGCTGTGCGCGCGGGCTGCCTCCCGCCCTCCTGCGCCTCGCAGCGCGCAGCCCCACGAGAAGGGCTCGCGCGCGAGGGGGGTGACGGCATGTGCGTTGCTGCGCGCGGCCCCGCGAGAAGGGCCCGCGCGCGCTCGGGGCGAGGATTGTTTTTCTGTGTGCGTTGCGTTGCGCGCTCCTTGAAAAAGTCACGGACATCGGACCGCTCGGTCTCCAGCGCGCCCCTGGTGGCCAGCGGGAGGGTCGGAGCTCCACCTGGCCGCCCGGCCAGCGGAATGGAGCCCGTCGGGGGCCCTGCTGACGAGCGAGAACAGCGAGACGACGAGCTGCCCGTGCGCGCCGCGCCCGAAGCGCAGGGCCTGGCCGCCCCCAGAGAGGGCGGGGAAGTGCCACCGGGCAGGCTCGAAGTCGGCAGGGCTCCACCGGGAGTGTCGGGCCCCGCCTTGCCGATCAGGCCCCTCGGGGGCTCGGGCAACGTGGAGCCGAGCTGCGGCTCCTTCCGCGCCTTCCCTGGGCCGGCCTCCCTGGGCGGAGGCGCCCGTGAGGGCCACCCTGCGCACCGCTGCGCAGGCGGCGTGGCCTTGCCGGTGTCCGGTCGTCGGCGCAGCCGCCGTTGAGGTGGGTGACCTGCTCCTCGGTGACTGACTGGTCCACCGCCGGCCGGCCATCACATGACGTTTTCTTGTTGTGGTCGGTAGTTCTGCTGCCAGTCAGCCAGGATCGCTAACCAGGGCCAGCTGCCCCGTGGTTGCTGTGGTATGTTATGTTAGGATGTGCGACGTATTGCAGCGATGCGCATTGCAAGGCGATGGGAAGTTGTGGCACCCACGCCATTTTACTTTGCTATGCGATGCGGCGCGATGATGTGCGATGATGATCCAGGGCACTGTACGCGATTATGATACGCCCTATGAAGCAATGCTTTGCTATTGCTTGTGCTTGCTTGCCTCGTGCTGATACAATGTACGATATTTGGCTATGATGTGCCGCGGCATAGTATGATATGATGTTATATGTTATAGTGTTCTCCGCTGCGTGGTGCCACGCGGTGATATGGTATGCGGTGGCATGCGCTATGCTTTGTTATCCGACGCGTTGCTAAGCGATGCGATGCGTTGGTGCTGTAGCCAGTTAAAATGTCTTAGCTTTGGCTCAGGGAGCCGGGATCCCGCTCGCGGGGCCACGGCGCGAGGCCGCGCGGCCTCGGCAGCCCTGACCGCGATGGCGCCCGCCGCGGGGGGGCCCGCGCCGGTGGCGCTGCCAGGCCCCGTGAGCTGCGCGCTGCACGCGCTGGCCATCGCCGCGGCCGTGGCCCTCAGGCGGATCGCCAGGGGGGAACGGGTCCTGAGCCCAGGCATGATTGCGCCACAAAAAAAATCGGGACGAGCGGGCCCTCGCTGGGCCTCGGGACCGTCAAAAAACCATGCAGGATGCAAAACCGGTCCCATGGAAAGGGTCTGGGCTTCGGGGGACGCCGTCTTGAAAAATCAGGATGTCGCATGTTTGGGGACGGAAAACCAGACATGATCGCGTCGTCTAAAAGAAAAATCAGGATGGCAACTGTTCTACGATTTTCGACCTGTATACGTAGAGGCCCTCGCTGGGCCCCGGGACCGTCAGAAAACGACTCAGGATGAAGAGCCGGCCCTGCGGGGAGAGGGTCGGGACTTCCGGGGACGCCGTGTCGCATGTCTGGGAACGGCTTGTGGGTTTAGTTCGCCGCTTTCGGGATCTTTTGGTGCCCTCCACGGGCCCCGGGGTTGTCAGAAAGCGGCTCCAAAGAAAGATCTCGTCCTGGGGGAGGGCCCTGGGGCCCAGGACCTCCTCCTCCTCCTCCGCCTCCTCCTCCTCCTCCTCATCCTCCTCCTCCTCCTCCTCCTCCTCCTCCTCCTCCTCCTCCCCCTCCTCCCCCTCCTCCCCCTCCTCCTCCCCCCCCTCCTCCTCCTCCTCCTCCTCCTCCTCCTCCTCCTCCTCCTCCTCCTCCTCCTCCTCCTCCTCCTCCTCCTCCTCTGGACCCGTTTCCCCCCTATGCTGAGGCTGGCCGTGAAGCGGTACAAGCTGTTCCCGGTGGTGCTCGCGTTGTGCCTGGGCATGCAGGCGGCCGCGGTGATCCTCGTGCCCACCGGCATCTTCCTCTCGATGATCCTCAGGGCGTGTGCTAGTCCAACGTGCGTTTCGGGGGCCCCCAACCGGGGTGGTGACCACACCGTGTGGTGAGTCGGTGGGGATTCGGGGTCACCGCACGGTTTTGGGACTCGAGGCCCTCTCCGAGGACGTCTCGGGCGGCAGGGGCCTCCGGGGGTCCCAAGACCGCGCGCTGACGGACCGTGCGGTGAGGTCTTGGGGGGTTCGAGGTCACCGCATGGTGTTAGCCCAATGTGTCATGGCGCCAACATCGTAGAGCGGATTTCGTTGGGAAAACGACAGGATGGGCCCGGAGGGTCCTGGAGAATCTCGTTCCAGATTTCGAGGTGCATTTCGTGCGGATGTTTTTGGCTGGGAATGAAGACTAAAACAGAATCCACGCGAAATTCACTTCGTTCTTCACTCGCTTTTTCGGGGTTTTGCATTGACAGAAATCCGCGCAAAAATCCGCTGCAGCATGTCTGCAAGGCCAGTGGAGTGAAATGTGTGTGTGTTGCCCCTTCCAGCCCAACCAGTAGATCATGACATCGCTTGCGTCGTATATCGAAGGTCCTCGAGAGGGACAAACACACGTTGGGGCTAACACTCGCAGGCCCAGAGGTTGGCACCAGAACCAAGATCGGCGGTGTGCAGCGCAGACGATCCCTACCTCGGCGATGGTGGTCGTATTCTGGCTTCCAAGGTGACCGAAGTATTACCACCAACACCGAAATCTAGTGTTGTTTGCTTGCTCTCTCCCTCTCCCTCCTCCTCCTCCTTCTCCCCCTCCTCCTCCTCCAACTGCCCTGTTTAGCAGGCGCATTGGCAGTAAACGCTTGAAGTCATACTTTTCCCGCCTGCGCGCCGGACGGCGTACGGCTTGTGCAGTACAGTGCAGTACCGAAATCTAGGATCCTCCTCCCCATGTGGAGGCCACCCCCCCTGTGCTGGTGCCGGTGCCAGTTTCCAGGCCTCCAGCACACGCTCCGAGGACCATCGGTCCTCTACCGCTGGCGCGCCCGGGGCTGGCCGGAGGAGCCTGCGCCGGGGCCGGGAGATCCCGGGCGGCTGGCGGCGTGGCTGCCGTCCGGGGCGTCCGTCGCTGGGGCGTGCTGCGGCCTCGTGGGCGTGCTTCTGGCCCAAGGCTCGGTGTCGTGTCACCGATCCCCATCCCCATCTCCATCCCCAGATATGATGGCGTCGTAAAAAAATCAGGACGGGAGGTTTTTCGCTATTTTTGGCCCCTGGGGGCCCTCGCCGGGCCTCGGGACATCAAAAAACGACTCAGGACGAAAAACCGGCCCCGGGGAAAGGGTCTGGACTTCCAGGGACGCCGTCCTGAAAAAATCAGGACGTCGCATGTCTGGGTCCCCTTCGAGTTCCTCTACCACAGTGCCACCCCAGTCGGGGATGCGCCCCTCGAAGCCCGGAGGGAACGACCCGTGTCCCCATCTCGGGGGGTAAGTCGGCCAGTGGGGCCCAGGCCACGCCGCTGGGGATGGGGATCGGTTAAACGATACTCAAAGGCTTCCTGGCCGAGCTGAGCATATGCCGAAGAAGAAACAACGGCACAAACATAAACGTTTGGCGCTCCGCGCGGATGACTCGGAGTCGCGCTGGGCCCCCCTGGCGGCGGAGGGAGGTCCGGCGCAGATCCAAGAACTCCGCGCGGAGCGCTAACAGTTTATGTTCATGCCGTTTTTTCTCCTTCTAGTATGGAGGGGCGCAGCGTTGCTCGAATGTTTCGCCTTCGTGCTGCTTGCCGGCAGGGTTGTTGCAGCAACGCAGGATGCCGGGGTGTCGGCCCGGAAGCTGGCGCTGGATGTGTTGAGGCTGTCGTGCCGGCTCACTGCCTCTCTCATGCTCGGCAACAAGCTGCCCCGGAGATCCGCGGACGCGGTCGTGCAGGCCGCAGACGCCGCATCACTGGCAGCGGCGCTGGTCGCCCTCGGGAGCTTGGCCACCTGGCGGCGCTCGTGCTATCAGGGGGGCACAGACACCTTCGGTGCCCCTTCCTGGTGCCTGGTGGCGGCAGCCTGCGCACTCGGATGCACTGCCAGGGCCGACCTGAGCAAGGCCTTCGTGCCGGATGCGCTGTGGACGACAGCGCTCTGCCTCGACGCGGCGTCGCCGCTGCCGCAGCTCGGGATGATAGCGCGCCGCGGCGGTGCCGCGGACGCCGCGGTCGGCCACCACGTGGCCCTGCTCTGGTGCAGCCGCGCGTTGGCGCTGACGTTCTGGTGGCTGATACGGGGCACCTGGTCGCGCGGCACGAGCTGGACCGGCTGGAGCATCATGGCGGTCCTGGCCGCACAGCTGGTCATCGGGGACCAGGCATTGGCACAAACAGAAAGACTCGGAGGTCCGCGCGGATTCCTCGGATCGGCGTTGGTCCCCCTTGGCGGGTCCAGCGCCGATCCGAGAAATCTGCGCGGACGACGGACCACCGAGTTTTACGATCGTGTCATGATCTGTTCCACCAGGTCATGGGCGTTGTTTAATCGGCCCTGGGCGTGTACTAGGCAGCCCTGCCCTGTTCGGGTCTTTCCTTTGGGTGCGTCTACGAAATGGCTTCGCTTGCCGGGGTGCTTACTCTGAGGGTGGACTGTCTGCTCGCTGCCCAGGTCATGCTCTCCCGCTTCATGGCCTACTGGTGCAGGGGGTGCTGGGCGAGCGGCCTCCTCGCGCCGCTCCCCTGCGCGGAGCGCGACCGGGCCGCCCGCAAGGAGGACTGAGAGGCGCGCCCCCGTTCGCGGGACACCCGGGCCTCCACGCCGGCACGCGGGAAGCGGGCCCCGAGGTGTTTCGCCGTCCTCGAGCTCTCGCGGGGCCCTCCACGGGCCCCCAGGACGGTCAGGAGACGACTCCGGATGGACTGAGAGGCGCGCCCCCGTTCGCTGGACACCCGGGCCTCCGCGCCGGCACGCGGGCAGCGGGTCCCGAGGTGTTTCGCCGTCCTCGAGCTCCCGACGGAGCCCTCCGCGGGCCGCGGGGGCGGGCAGAGGGCGACTCCGGACGAGGAGCCCGTGCTGGGGGAAGGCGCCAGGGCTCAGGGCCCGTGTCCCTCGGGAGCCGTCTCCCCCCGTTTCCCCCCCCATGCTAGAAGTGGGGCCGGAGGGTGCGAGGAAGATAAGGAGGAGGGGGAGGAGGAGGAGGAGGAGGAGGAGGAGGAGGAGGAGGAGGAGGAGAAGAAGAAGAAGGAAGAGGAGGAGGAGGAGAAGGAGGAGGAGGAGGAGGGGGAGGGGGAGGAGGAGGAGGCGGAGGAGGAGGAGGAGGAGGAGGAGGAGGAGGAGGAGGAGGAGGAGGAGGAGGTGGTGCCCGCATTGATGCGACTTGCGTCCGCGTCCGAAGGAGGTTTCCCCCCCTGCCTAGAAGTGGGGCCGGAGGATGCGAGGAAGAAAAGGTGGTGCCCGCGCGGATGCGAACTGCGTCCGCGTCCGAAGGAGGTTTCCCCCCCTGCTAGAAGTGGGGCCGGGGAAGCGAGGAAGAAGAGGTGGTGCCCGCGTGGATGGGACTTGCGTCCGCCGCGTCCGAAGGGAGGTGCAGGAGCACACGTTTAAGTCGGGCCTGTCCTTCTACCTTCTACAGGAGGAATATTCAAAAATAATATAAAAAAAGAAATAGTCTGGGAACTATTTGTTTTAAAGCAAGTTTCGAGCATTTGGGGAGTTTTTTGCATTAAAATAAGATCGCCCAACATCCCCCTCTGTAGGGGGACATGCCCGACCTAAACATACGTTTTCGGAGGTTCGCGCGGATTTCTTGGATCTGCGTTGGGCCCCCCCTGGCGCGCCTCCGGCGCCGACCCCCGCGCGCCCTCCGCGCGCCAGGGGGGGCGTTGTCGAGGCCGCGAGGGCCTGCGAAAGTTTTACGTTTGAGGAGGAGGAGGAGGAGGAGGAGGAGGAGGAGGAGGAGGAGGAGGAGGAGGAGTAGGAGGAGCAGGATTGTTCCAGACGCAGACTGGTGTTATTGATTTGTTTTGCCTCTCGCCCGTGCTGGTAAGTAAGCTGGCAGGAGATGCAATACGTGACCGATCCGATGTAGAGGCTCCGAAGATGCGTAGTGGCAATGCAGTTTGGTGTCGACCAATTCTTTGGGACGGAATGTTGCAGCTCTGCGATGGCGTTCCCAAGTTGTCTTGGCACGAGCACCATCAGAACTGCCTGAGGTCTTCGTTGAGTTTCACCACATGGACTATG